GATTCAGAGATGTCCCAAAACAGGGATGCCTTTCTGACGCTTATCCACTCACCATTGACATACAGTTCAACATGTCCAGATGGCATCTATAAGCCCATCCTCCTACCAGCAGTCGCCGAATGGCATCTTTAAGCCCATTCTCAGATGGCATCTCTAAGCCCATCCCCCGATAAAATTCTATCGCACCAGGTGGCATCTTTAAGCCCATCACCAAATGGCATCTTTAAGCCCATTCACCTCCATCGTCACATCGACGAGCGCAAATTTTCTGGGCACATTAGTGTCCAATCTCCTTTTACCTTCAAGTCGCGAAAGGCAAACTTGCCAATCTAACTCTTCAGGTCAAAGAAGATTGAACAGGGGCAACTGTTGTACCCCAAAATTTGCCCTCGCATTTTTCCCCAAGAAATATCAGCTTCAAACATTTCCTGACTTTTCAAACTGGCTCAAGAATCGGACAAACGGACTTTTCTTGACAGTCAAGCAAAATTAGGGTTTTTACTGATTTTCAGAGCTCTGGGTTATTTCAAGCAGTTGGCTTAGGGTTTGGATGATTTTTGGTTCGATTGTGATCAGGCGAGCGTTATTTGGCATTTAATCAGGAGTTAAGGTTTTATGGGCATATTCTCAGAAGAATTTAAATTCCACAGCACTTCGCAGTTTATTCCGAGATTCGGGTTAAATTTGCATTGTTTTGATTTAATCAGTGAAAGAAACAGTGGTTGGAATTCATGTTGTTTTCTTTGAGTCAGTCAAATACAGGATGCAGTATTGGATTCACAGTGTTTATGCGTTTGATCAGTCCATTTGGGTTAACTGCTGCTTTGCTTTGGATTTTGAATAAGACAGGTTTAATTGATCAATGTTGTTTTTATTTAAGTTATTTATTATTCTAAAAAAATTTGAATGATTGAAATTTATTTTTCAATTGTTTTAATTCTAAGAATTTTGAATAAATAAATAAACAATAAAGAAAATTAGAATTAATTGGATAATTTAGATTTTATTGATATTTGAATTATTTGTACAAATTGTTGTTTATAATTTAAATTATGAACAATAATATACATTAATTTAAAATATTACATAAAATAAAAACTATCCTATTTCTAATATTCTTCACTCTTCACTCCGCTCCGGTGCTCCATTTTTTATCTGCGAAAAGAAGAAGAAAAGTCAGAAAGCAGTTAATTAGATACAGTTAAAATTGCTCATCATTAGAGGCCACTGACTGGGATCAGTTGACCCTCTCTGCAAATCACGGGATTTCTCCCGGTTCACAGAGAGGGAAGATTTTTATTCATGAAATACAAATGTCAAAAGTATAAGTTCCAAAATTCAAGACTGCATAGAATCTCAACTTCAAATTCAAACTAAACTGAAAAATCCAATGCCCACTTCCTATCAAATGCCAAAGATATCAAAGAAATCAAAGTAGTACAAGTTGCTATCAAAACTGTCAAAGCTGTCAAAAAGGGATTTTTGCCAAGATATCAAGGAAAAGTCAGCACACAAAGCTGTCAAAAGAGATAAAAAAGATGCAGAGGAAAATGTATTATGCAAGCAACTTGGATCTTTTTCATCATTTCCCATGGGCCCCTTCAGAGAAGGTACAGAATAATAGTCATATTAAATTCTAAAACTGTACTTTAGGAGAGGAAAAAGAGAGATAAAGCAGCATAGGCAGGTTTAGGCTTAGGCAGAAGACAACAAAGATATACAAGAGATAGAGAACTCAGTTCAGTAGAGAGTTCAAGGAGAGAAGAGAAATATACAAAACTGAGGAAGCAAAAGCCTCATTACAGTCAAGGGAAGAAAACCTGCATAAAACATACAAGTCCAAACCAGCAGCCTAGCCACATGAACTTGTCACAAGGCCATCAAACTGAAACATAACCCCTCAACCATACTGTCAAACAAAACCAGCATAGGCCATAACCTCATTCTTGTCCAGAATCTCACCAGTTATCAAACACATCATCCAAACCAAAATGCAAGAACATACTGTCAACACATAAGCAAAACTACCAATCTGCAGTAGCCCTAACTGCTACCCTGTCAAACAAATAAATCAAAGTCCAAGAACCAACCCAAACCTCAAACCTGCATCAGTAAAGGCCAAACCTGTGAAAGATACAAACACATAACCTTAAACTGAATTACCAAACTGATAAAACCATCACCCTGTTCAATCACCAAAACCATAACCAGAATCACTAAAACCATAACCAGAATCACCCTGCCCATTGCCTAATCTCAAGCTTGACCACTACCAAAACACCATACTGTCAACAAACTCACAAGCATAAAAGTTCAAGGCAATACAGGTGAGGCAACCCACGATCCCTCAGTACAAGCATCACTGGGCATCTCGAAGCGTCATATTCCAATCCTCATCATAGGCGATACATAGCATCCAATTCAACAGAAGTTCAAGGCCAGCAAACATCTCAGAAAGGCACATCTCAAGCATATAGGCAACAAATACGAGCCCCTCAGAACTGTAAGTTCATCATGGGGGGAAACAAATCAAATCATATAGCGTCAAGCACGTAAGCAGAAACAAATCAAGGCAACACGAGAGAAGAAGAGAAAGTTCATTAAGGCAACAATTCGAAGCATCATAGGCAAAGGGACGAAAGTAGAAGAGATAAAGATACCAGGAAAGCATCAGAAGCCAAGGGCAAGCATCTAGCTTCGTCACCGAATCGCCGTTCCGGCCTCCTAAAGCGTCACCCCTCTTCTCTCCTCCATCTCCAAAATCAGGTAGTGAGTTTCCTCCCTCTCTTTCTCCACCACCTCACAATAGCACAGAGTTAAGAATCGAAAATTCAAATCAAAACAAAACATGCAATCCGTAAAAAAGGAAAAGAGATAAGAACATAACAACTAAAAGCTAACCTTGTTTCAAGAGGATGTGGAGCTCTTGCCTGGGAGGGAAGAGAGTACGGGAATAACGCTGGTGGCCGGAAAGAAAAGCGATGATCGGAGAAGACGGATGCACGAACGGCGCCGCTATGAGCCCTAGCTTTCGTTCTGAACAAACCTTCCCTAACCCTAAATTCATTTCAAGTTTGACATGGGCTTGACCCGTTTCTGCCTTCCCCAAAGCCCATCAAAAATCATTAACATTTTCTAACCAAACATTTTCATTAATACTAACCAATTTTCTTTGTAATATACAAACTCTTTTTGTCACAAAATCATATAAATAATAAACACTTTTATATCATATACTTAAAATTAAAATGACCCTTTTTTTTAACTAAAGATATATTTTGTATACAGTTGCATAATTAAATTTCTAAATACACCTTAAAATACATTTTTTGTCATATAGTTAAAATATCTTTTTCTTAAGTATATATTTGTATATAAGACAATAAAATATTTTTTTATATACATGATTAAATTAAAAACATTTTATTTTGTACATATATTTTAAAAACATTAATTTTGTACATATTATCCATTTTTTCATACATAATTAAAATTGAAACTCTTTTTAGTTAACATACCTATTTGTACATAATAATAGAAATACATTTTGCTAATATTAAATTCACAACATTTAATCAAAATACTTTTTGCAAACAAAGAAACATTCTTAATTAAAACTTGAACATTTTTTGTACATAATTAAAGATAAAAATCACAGATTCATTAAAATACACTTCTCTAGGTCAAACCCTAATACGCTTCAATTCCACAAATTCGCACTTGTAAATAATCACACAATACATATACATCTCACACTTATACATTCACATTGCCCTATACACATTTTTATCTTATATTTGTATATTCGATATTTACATTTTGATCGCACATTCGATTTGGTTGTAACTTATTGGATACTATAAGTCTCATCCCCTTGTACATTTATACCCCCACTCCCGGATACTATTTTGTAATAGCGTAGATTTACATTCCGCAATTTACAGTTTTCCAATTATACCATGGTTAGACCTAGGGTTTGTATGTACATAAAATCAAACGCTAGATAACCTAATACAAGACAAATACATGTAATCAATACACAATCACACTTGCACCCCCTAGGGTAATCCCACATGTTGCCTTCCAAAATGGGCCATGCTTGCACGTCGAGTATCTTTGGCAAAACAAAATCAAATGATCATAAGTCCCTCGATGACGCTTTCGAATATTGCCTAAAACGGAATGATCATAGTCCCTTCAAAGCAAATTGCCAAAGACACTTGGCACCATTGCATTCATGGTCCATACGATGACCCGCGCCCGTCCCGAATAAACTTCCTAAACGCAAGATTGTCCACCAATTTCAATGGGGGAACAAAATTGTTAAAAGGGGTTAAAACATGACAAAAACCTTTGAGTACAATAGGGTAGACAAAACTCTTAGTTACTTGAGATCAAACTTGCAAAAACACTTGCCTTCTTTTCAAAAACCACAATCCACAACACTTTCCAAACAAATTCTCAAAACATTTTGAAACATCTTTTCGAAAAGATACACGCCTTTGTAAAACATTCGAGTAAAGAATTGTTACAAGGTTAGCCTAAGACAAGGCATCTTTTTCCAAAACATTTTCAAAAAGCACCCACACACACACAATTTTCAAAGCAATCGAAAAACAAGGCAAGTGATCTAAAAAACCAAGTAACTAAGAGCCCATGGATAACCATGGATGAAAAGGGTGCTAACACCTTCCCTTTTCATAATCTACCCCCCGAACCCACGAAATATCTCAAAAGGTTTTTGCTGTGCTTTTTTAACCTTTCCTTTAGGATAAAATAAAAAGTCGATGGCGACTCTTGCTCAACCGCACAAGTGCGAATACGAACGCAAAACACTAGTCAGTTCTCCCACCGTATCACACATACAAATTCATAAAATATAAATAATACAACTCTTTACAAAACCATAGTATATGAGTGTAAATAAATATTGAAGCAAAATGATGCATAATTCACTTCTACTGATAAGTTGAACTAAGTGTGTATATTGCAAGATCAGATCAACCATGGTTCCCATTCCAACAACTTGTATCACCATTTTGTAAACCAAGAAAGATCTTTGATTCACCATTTCTGCCATTCGGGTTAATATTATGATCTGAATTCGATTTCAAGACCGGGTCACAGTTCAGATTCTCTTCAAATCCACCCATTTCCACTATTTTTAGACCTGGCCCATTTGAATTCAGGCCCTTAAAAAGGTTCCCGGACCTCTCGATTGATGCAAGAAGTGAACTAAAACTCCCTCCACCAAAACTTGGCTCAACCGGGTCAATACGAATCTGAGTCGGGTCGGTCGGAGTCTGAAACTGAAGAAACTTAAATTAAAGAAGTTTAAGCTGAAGAATCGAATCTGGAACCTTTAGTTCTATCACAACGATTGATGCAAGAAGTGATATACCATCTTTCTGGTTAAGTCTTTGTAACCGATAATTGAGAATCTTGGCAAGCTCATGTATCAGTGCAACGCAGCGTCCTTGAACGCTCCTCCCATGAGTTTGCACTTCAAGAAATTGGGAGCACCAACTATCAAAATCTGATTGTTAATCATGATAATGTATTCTTGGGGATCGCTCTTGCCACCGAAAGATGTCAAGGGCGTCAAATTGAAGTTTTCTGGGACCAAATCGTCCCATATCACTTCAGACAAAGATTAGGGGTCCAACAACTCTTCTTTTGTTTTTCCGTCTGGCTGGCTCTGGCCTGGAGCGTCTGGACATTGTCTTGTAGAGACTCGTCTTGTTGTCGTAGAGCCTCCACAATAGCTAGCAATTGTGCCATATCCGACGGAGGTGACAGATCACTCATACTAAGGAATGACCCAGACATTCTGAAAATGTGATCTTTAAGATTGGTGTGTGGTGTAATGCCCCGATATTTAATTATTTACTCAATTAAATATTTTTGAATATTTTGTATTAATTCGATTTTTTTATAGTCGAAATCGGAATTATTTTATTAAGTTAAAACAATAATTAATCGAATTAATTTGGTGGAATTAAGTTGAAGTATCATTTTATTACTAAGCTTAAATATGATATTGGACTTAAATTGGTGGTATTGTGTAGTAATAAGGGGGTGTGTCACTTAGACCCATTTGAGTTTACTAAAGATTAAATAAAATAGGAGTATTATATTGTATAATGAGATTAGAGGAAAAAGAGAGTGTAGAGCTATCAGGAAAGAAAGAAAAGAGAAAATAGGGTTTTGTGAGAGGAGAAGAAAAACAAGGAAATTGCTTCTAGTTCTAAATTTCTCACAAATTCGGTTGAAGTTTCTTAAGAGCTGCACTCAATCCAATATAAGGGTGGAGTTCTGACTCTATAATAGAATATTAATTGATAAAAAGATGTTTAGATTGAAACCTCTAATTTTTATAGATTGAAATTATTAGGTTTTGATGAATAATCATTGATATATATTAATGAAATTGAGAGAGATTTGAGAATTCAATTCATATCTATTACTTCTTGTAGTATCGCCTTTTGAGGTATATTGGTATATACATATGAGTCATGTGTCCAATTTCTTTCGTACGTATACAGCGCTTCGTTAGAATTTTATTTGGGCATTGTAGCGTCACTTCTTTATATATACATGGCTTGAATACATATGGGTTTCTTAGGAATTATAGATGGACATAGGCAATACATCACGTGATGGTATATATGTTTTGTTGGAATTAATCATTTAATGTATAACTAATGGGTAGATATGATGATTTGGTGTATAACGGTACTGTAGCGTCACTTCTAGGAACATATATACTGTATCACCATGTTTAGAAACCAAAAAAAAATTGTAACAATTTGATGGATATAATAGCTTGGTATATACTGTAGCACAAATTAAGAATCACGTTTCATAATATAATATATATTAGTTTATTGTATGTATAATAATAATAATAATAATAATAATAATAATAATAATAATAATAATAATAATAATAATAATAATAATAATAATAATAATTTAGTATTATTAAGAATAATATTTTGTTAGGAGTTTTGGAATTAGAGATGAGAAGTTAAGTTAATTTCTAACTCCGTTAGAGTTTTCAATAGAGTTATTAGAGTTGTTAATAGAGTTATCAATAGAATTGTTAAAGTTGCTAATAAAATTGTCAGAGTTGTTTTGAGTTATTACAAGTCATATTTTTATTTGTTTTGCGTAATTTTGACATATTTACAGTTGTCAGAAGAAGTGACTCAATAATAACACATCTTTACTAAATTATTGATATTTTAGTTATGAATTTTTAGTTAAATTTGATAGCAGGAAATTATGAATTAATTGTACCATTCGTCAGTATATATACCTACTAATTAATTAGTAAAGGATAACATTGTAGTATACCATGTATATGCAGTACTTTTTTTTTTGTGTAGATATAGCTATTTGGTAGATACACTGGATGGTTATATTGTATAGCAATGTAGTATAGCAATTGGTTAGATATATCATATACCATATAACAATGTTCGATATGGCAATTGTTAATAATATTGTAAAAATTTTGTAAGTAGAAATAATAGAACTTTTTGGCCGATAATTAATTAACCAGTTTTAGTCGAAATAGTCTGAATAATTACGCAGTTTTATTTATAGCAATTTTTGGTTGATTCGTTGTATTGTGTTCTTCGTTAAAAAAATGTGAATTTGCCGGTGATGTTATTGCATATATTTATTGGCTAAAACTAAATTGTAGGCTTATGACCAATGTTGAATTAAGTTGAATTATTATTTGTTGTTGTTATTACGTTCATGTTGGTAATGCATACATAGCATGTCATGTTGGAGCTAATGCTCGTTAAGTTGGCATGGATTGGCAAATATAAAATTGAAGGCTTATGCCTTGTTGATGCCTCTATTTATTGGCAGATTTCTAAGTTGAGAGTTCTGCTCCATTGGTACCACATGCATGTACATAAAAACGAGTCGCATTTCATGTTGCATCCTGAGTTGTCGTGTGGAGGAATTAATTATGTTAAATATTGATAAAAAGTTGTGAAGTGGTGAATTGTATGATCTAATACTGATATATTATTTATTGTATATCCGACTATATGGTTTGATATCTCAACCCTTATGTTTGAATGTTGTCCTCTATTGGTAACGTGCAGGTAATCAAGAAGGATATTTGTTACCTTCGTTAGTTCGAGTCGGTGTTGTCGCTCTGATACGTAGCACTCAGGAGGATGATCGCATGTTTTCCTTATTGTTGATTTTCATTATGTTGCTAAATTTTTAAGTTGTTTTCATTAAAGACTTGTTATCTTAAAGTCGTTTTGAGTTGGACAAGATGTTATGGTGTTTTCAGTTGAATTTTGTGAATCCGCTGCGTAGTAATGAAAGTTATTTTATTTTTAAAAACTAAACAAATTGTTATCGGTTCATCTGAATTTCATGTGTTATGTATCTGAATTATAGATGATTGAATATCGTAGTTTTAAGTTGAAAGTGTAACATTCTATTTATTTGTTGGAAATTTTTATAACTCTGATTTTATTTAACTCGTTAAATAGAAATAGGGTGTTACATATGGTCTGAGAAAGTTTTACCTAGGTCCCACGATGGGCATCAAATATGTATGATAAACATTTTTGCATAGTTTCTCCCAGAATAATCATGCAAGACCGCAACTATTTTGTATATTCAAATCTATTGTCCTACTTGTACTTCTGTGTTATTGATTAATTATCCCTTTTCCTCTATGAGAGACTCTATTTTATACTCCAACCTATTAATCATGTATTCATTAGAGAGTTGACTCTTTCATCAATAAAGAGAAACTCCTAACCCTTGCCGTCCGTCCTATCATGAAATGTAACGGTCTCTTTACTAGCTTTCTTAACCTTTATACAGTTTTTGAACTACTATAACTGCCATACCAACCTCATATACCGACTCCGACTAGGAGTGTCTCTCACCACGTCCAACATCACATTCATTTCCTCATATTACGACTTCCTACTCGCGTTGATGACTTACTTAACATAACTTTCTTGTCCTACTTGCAACTCGTCCTAAGAATTTCATAATATACAATTACTTTTTACTTAGTAGAGTTATTTCCATTATAACCCAACATATATTTTTAATCTTACATTTTTTATCATCTATTCTGAATTCAAACTCAAATGGAGCGAGGTTAAATGCGGTGGAATAGTCCAAACAATAAAATACTATAAATACAAAAAACTTTTATAAATACAAAGTAGGGGAAGGAAACAGATCTCTAACTACCTACCCCTAACTTTAGGCAAAAATTATGAGAGAAATGAGAAAAGGATTAAAAAAATGGAGGGAAACAAGATGAGAAAGATGTGTTATTAGAGAGAGATAAAGAAAAAGTTAAGGTGCAGTTCCCTCAAAAAAAAGTTCCAGAATCCACACCCATAGGAGAAATGACAAGTGAGGAAAAGAAAATATTATTCCCTCCGTTTTCATTTACACTTTTTCTTATTTTCTTAGTCTTACTCTTATTTTCTTAAAAAAAATAAGAAAATCATAAAAATAAATAAGAGTAAAGTTGAGAGAGAGAGATACGAATGAAATGCAGTGGAAAAAAAAAATAGATGATACAATTCAGACGAATACTTAAAAGAATTCATTAGTAGTGGTAGAGAATGATTCAGTCAAATTAACAATCACCAAGATGAAAATTTGGTAAAAGAAACAAAAAATATGTCAATTGCCATGGCCCTCAACTGACAATGTACAAATAAGGCTCAACATTAAGTCACTATTGTAATTTAAAATTTCCCATATAATCAAATCAAATCCCTTACATTTCCAAATATCTAGTAGCTCTATTGATCAACAAATTCTCATGCAAACTTCAAATATCCATGGATCATGAATCCTTCAAAAGCTAGGTAAAAACACACCAAAAATACATTATCATCCTAATCACCAAAGTAGCATTCACATTACACATCCCTCCACACACAACTGTAATTTTTTTCCCTTCAAATCACCATCATGGTAAACAACAAAAACCATTCACTATATAAATATATAAAAGAAAACCATAGCATACAAATCCATAAACTTATAAAATAATAAAACTCTTTACAAAACCATAGTATACGAGTGTAAATAAATCTTGGAGCAAAATGATGCATAATTAAGAAACTAAATTAAGCCAAAAAAAGCTTAACTTTTTTTCAAATCACTTCTACTGATAAGTTGAACTAGGTGTGTATATTGCAAGATCAGACCAACCATGGTTCCCATTCCAACAACTTGTGTCACCATTTTGCAAACCAAGAAAGATCTCTGATTCACCATTTCTACCATTCGGGTTATGAGTATGACCCGAATCCGAATTCACAACCGGGTCAATGTTCAAATTCTCCCCGAATTCACCCATTTCCATCATTTTTAAACCTGACCCAT